ATTAACAGAAGTCTCCGCCACAGCTCATAGTAAGCCTTATCTTCCTAAATAATTTAGTTTCAAACCTCCTCCTACCATTAAAAAATTTTTTGTCTTTTCTTTACCAAAATACAATATTTATGCTTATAATGGATTTAATCGTGTAAACCAGTGTTTCCCAAAGTGTGGGACGCGTACTCCCAGGTGTACGGGAACAGTTTAGCAGGGGTACGCGCTCTTATGCGAAATATCTTGCAACAAACGAAAATTTCCAAACTTTTTACTTAAAAGCAAAGTCAGCCATGAAAATTTCCGATTACGTATTTTTCTATTGGCTATTTTTTGCAGAGTTAACTGTAAATATTTAGTGATGTCAGGAGCCAGTTGTGATTTTTATCTTTTGTGCAATTTTTTTATAGTAAGAACATACATTATTTTTTTTATTATTAGTGGTACACAGCGTTACAAAAAATTTAAAAAGGGTACACAAAAGTCATAAGTTTGGGAAACACTTTTGTAAACTAATAATATACAATAAGTGTTGAATTTTTATATTCTCTTCAATTGTTTTTACAAAAAACACACTTCAAATATATTTGTTGAAAAGTTTAGACATTAAATTAAGGCATTGAGTGAAACAAGCACACATAAAATAATAAATAACTGAAACGCAAGGAGCTTATTGATTTAGCGAGAACATTGAGTGCCTCTAAAATGGAAAACAGGCAACTTTTTTTATACACATAGATGTTTATAAATTAACATTCTTTCAGCTCGTTAATTCAAGTTCCGATTTAAATTAGTTACATATTAATTAGTAACGTTTACATTTATCTGATATCTCAAAAAACAAACATTGAAAATTTGGAAGGATTTTTATCACACTGAACGTTAGTTTGCATATGAACATAGTAATATTAGTTTTTCAACAGGTGCGTTCCAGATTTAAAACTTTATTATCTTACTAAATTAATATTTCCCTCATTCGCAATCATTTGATTGTTCGGATAATTTCTGAAACATCATTCAATTTAGCTTCAAACAAATAATTATTGTCGATATGTAAGTTTTCTCCAACGGAAACAGGGCTGTAGAATTCGTGCGATAGAAGCATTTTAACATCATTATTTTTTTTACACTAAAAAATATAATAAAAAAAGAAGAAAACTTCTAAAATGCTAAAAAAAACAATCCTAAAAAATCTGATAAAATTGAAAAATATGAGGATAACTTCTGGAACTTCAGACAGAGCATTCAGAGAAATATCCTTCTCTTAATGTGGAATCAATGTTTTTCGTGAATAACTTAGAAATCATTTGAGTCATCTCCAAATAAATATAAAACCAGCTCTTCCAAATCTTTAGAAAAGTATTTTTGATATTAATACTTTGTCTTCCTCTTGTTTCCTCGTAGAATGGACATCATTACCGCCTTCAGCACTGAAAACAAACTTTTCTATACTTTTTTCGATGCTGAGACCAATATTTTAAAAACATTCTTCGATATCCAGCTTTGCCCATCATTTTGAAAATCAGAGGATGGACATCAAAGAATTCAACCTTCCAATAATTTTTCGTAAAAAATTATGCTATACTTTAAAAAAATATAGTGAACAAGACTATAAGGTGTAAATACGAGTATTTCCAAATTCGCAATATCAGAGATGCGAATTTTAAAAAATTTTTTCCCTCATTTCATTTGGAGTAGAACTTATTTATCACACATAGCCGGCCAGGTGGCTGACTGCGGGTTCGATTCCCGCTCTGGGCATGGATGTTTCTCTCTCTCACTGTTGTCTTCTGATGTGTGAATGTATGAATGTGGCCCACCCTATGAACGGGTATTTGTGGCAGTGTGGCATGGGTAATGTTGCTCGCCTCCGTGACTTTGGTTCACAGGCACTGGGAAACGATAATTGAGCAACACTTCTGGCATCTTCTATGGCGAAAAATGAAAGTTCAGTGCCTGCCGTTATTAAAAATTTAAAAAAATTGTCACACATATTTACACCTGCATTAGAATATGCAAAAAAGATTACTACTTTCCTGTTACGTTTGTAAAAAAAAATATCACTTGCCAATTATTAAAAAGTTGAGATTTTCTGACTTCACAAGTGAATTATGATCACCCAATATTCTACGCACAATAAAACTCAGAGATGGTACACGAAAAGGCAATTTGAATCAATTTTTGAAAATATCTTGCAAACAAAACTATTTGAATGCAGATATACCATGAAAACAACTTGAAACTTAACCAGCAATTTTTTCATGAAAAGCACCTTCGAATGGACCGATTTGTAATTTAGCTAAAAACTTTCAAAACATTTATCGATATTTATTTTTGTGGAACTTAAGTAGCTGTTCTTCGTAGTCTTCGTTGAAAATTAAAACAACTAAGGGAAAGAAATAAAAATTGTATCATCGAAAGACTTAAAATAAATACGCCTAGAGTTGAACTTGTATATGTTACCTTCAATTTATGAAATGCCAACAATCTATAAGAGACCTAGTCATTGTATAGTTCATAGGCCAAGTCAGTCTTCTTTGCTTTCTGAGAATTAGAAATTGGGCACATACGTGGGTTAAAGATCGTAATTTTATACACTCTATAACTTTAAAACTACTTCGAGATTCACAAAAATATTTTTCATATTTTTTCGATTAACATTAAAATCTAAAATTTCGTCTTGATATGCGGGGGCATTACAAATACTTTCCTTGCGAACTTTAACACTTATTTTAAAAAGGACAGAATGATGTCAACATGTCCTAAACTATAATAACGTTTACAATGAAGAAGAAAATACAATTCAAAATGCTACAACTGTTCTGAAATGTTCAAACGAGGACAAGAATTTTTAAGTCAAAATCTGACATCCAGTCCCCGATTCTTTGTTTTCCAAACAAAGCTCTGGCGTATTTTTTTCACTCTGTCCTTGGCAATGAAATGTTAGGTTAAAATACAATTGCTGTTATAAATACAAAAAAAGAAAGAAAAATTTGATTTATGAAGTCTGATTGTATGTCATTAATCTTTCAAAGACGAAACATGAGATGATTAATGAACGTTATTTATTAGCCATTATCTGAACGGTACGATACTAAAAAATTTGTTTGAGAGAAAACACTAGTTTTTGTTGATTTTAGTCGACATGCAGTATGAAACAGGCTTCCCAAACCGATGAAAAACATTAATGTTAGTCATTTCCAAGCAAAATAAAATAATCGAATCCTCACGAAAGTTTCACCTCTTTTTGGAAGGAAACCAAATTTTTGGCAATCGAAATGGGCTACAGGTGGCGCACAGCAGAGCTCTTTACCTATGGCAACACTAGGCATGCTTTCACCATTAGCGTGTAGATAGTCATAAGAGTTGGAAGTACCTTAGTTTCTGTCTTTATTTTTAAACCGATTAAAAATTTTTAAGTTTGGAAACGCCATGGAACTCAAAACTGCGTTAAAGATAATCATGGGCGTCGTTGACGATGGGTATATGTATCCCTTCAATAAATAGACATCTCAAAAATTACTCCTCAACACTCCCTCTTATTACAGACAATAAAGAAAATTTATCAAATTATCAATCATTTAAATTCCTTGAAGTTCCGCAGCGGACTGAGCGTAAAGACACGGTTCCCAGTAGAACACTGAAGTCAAGCATCATTGGCTGCGGTCGGTAAGCGGGTGGGTGACCACTTTGATCAGCCAGCGTAGAGACCAAGGGTGCACCGTATCGATCCTCTTAAAACTGTTCTACCGTTAGGTGCATGACTTCGCGACCAGGTCATCCGACTACCAGGGGAGTCATCCAGTCTGCAAAGGATCAAGGATTGTGATGCCATGTCTTTGGGTCATGTTCAGGGATGTTTCCCATACTGTCGCCAATAGCCCATTGTGCAGCTCTAATGCGACATAAATAAAGTACCTACCTACCTAAAAGTTAAAAACAAGAAAGTTATAAATAATTAATATTTTTTTTAATTTCACACATAAATGACCGCAAAAAATTGACTCAGAAATTTAATTTCGTCCATTTTAACAATTCGGTCCTTGCATCGCCCACGATCCAATACACTTGAGCAGAGGAAACGGGGGAGACTATGGACATGTAAACTGGCCTTTTCCCAAAACGGCAATACTTTTCTTGGGTATTTTGATACTTTTTAGAAGCTTGAAGGGCTATTCTCTCTGCACTCACTTCTGATCTGTGTTGGACGTTCTTTGTTCATTCTAATAACATGACTAGCCCATTTAATTCTTTGTATTTGATGACGTCGGAATCTTCGAAGGCACGATAAATTTCTAAATTTGAGCATCAGCGCCATCAACTTGCATTTGCCTCTGAATTAAAACTATGTTTTTTTATTCTATCATCAATTATTGAGAATAAAATTATTTTAGGAAGAACAACCTACTCAATTAAGAAAGTTTTTTTTTTCTTCATTTACTAAGCACCATATAAGATTCTATAACTTCAGTTTACAATTATTTTTAAAAAGTTATTTGTGTCAAAAAGTTTTTCAATTTTTCTTTATTTATATTTTGAAAATAGTGGGGCTGGTGTTAGGTCCCACAAAGAAACTTTTTAAAAAAAAATAACTATTTTAAATTTTTCAAAACCACGAGAATCCAGCATTATCTAATTTTAACCAAATAAAATTTATTGAAAAAGCAAAACTAAGGCAAAATTATGGGAATAATTCAAGCCCCCGTAGAACCTGCCTCTATATGTTTTGTATTAACAGCATTTCAATTTTTTAAATACATCAAAATTTTCCTTAAAAAAAGCAAATAATTAAATTAACCAATAATAAGTTGTGAAACCTGTACAAAGTGCAAATTTATTAAAATATTCAATTCAACTAAACAGAACTTATCAATATTGTACATAAATTTTATCAAACATCATTCATCCAACCTTGCATAATTTTTTTTTTATTTCTTCTAGTAAAAATTTAAATAAGATAAATTAAAGATTTTTAGTGACTATGTTAATTGTTTGAACAATAAATTAAAGAATACAGTACAAATGATTTATTGCTTAATGGTTATGAACAAGTAATGATCTTATAAATTAAAAATACAATAATGAAATACATTTACAATAGCTGCATGTGAGGGAAGAAAGTAAATTTCTAACAATTTTTAAATTACAAACCAAATTGCATTAATAAATACATGATCAAGGAGCCTTTCTGAATATAAAAAGGAAACATGTGTAACACATATGTGCAATTCATATAAAAACTAGCAACAGTAACTGCGTTTAAGAAACATGCACACATAGTGATAAAAATTAAGGTGCAATATTCTTTATCAGCATATAAAACATTATTTAGCATAATTTTCATCATATTCATTCATATAAGAAAAGAGAATAAAAAATAAGAAGGTTAAGAAACATGAAAGATTTGGAGCAATGCAGTCATAAATTCAGTCTTCTCCAAAGGTGATAATTTCACATCAAACTGTTACTTAGTATTGTTTCCAGGTAGTAGTTATTTTACAAGTTTCTTTAATTTTTACAAGATTGAAACACAATACACAAAAGCATTGTGTATAACCAACATGAAAACTGTGATGTTTTTTTTTTTATTTTTATCAAATAACTTAAGCACAGCAGTTTTAAAAGTGTAGTTAATCATTATATTGTTCCAAGGTTACCATTTGAAAACTACTATACTATTGATATTAACAAGGTAAAAATAATAAATAATTTCAAACAAAACATACTGAAGACCAATTTTAAATTAGTTAGTAAGGCTCATATGCAACTGAAACAAATTTTGATCAAACTACTGGTTTCAGTTCAATTTATTTGAACAAATGCATGTTTTCTAATTTAACTGTAACCTTGCTAAAGTTTCTACCAAGTGCGATGATAGCTATACTTTGAAGGCTAAATTTGATATAACTGCTTTTTGACCAATCACAAAGCAGATACACTCTTTTCATGGAGGTGGTGGACAAAACTTAGCAAAATGTTTAATTCAAATTCTTGACAATTTTATGTAAATAATACACTAGTTGAATAATGTGATACTAGTTTCGAATGCAGATGCAAGCATATCGGATTATTAACATTTATAAAATAATTTTGGAATAGAAGTCCAAATTTACGATTCAATAATCTCCATCAGTAGTCGCAACTAATTCAAAAAGGTAATTTGAGATTATTTTGTAACATTGAGATTATTTTGTTAATTATCATTTCATACAAGTTAATAGAAATTACATTATCTAAATACAATTCTTTATGATTGATGTTTTTTGATCAGGTTAGATTAGCACTTTTTAATGCAAAAATATTTTGTAATAGTCTTAAGAATTAAAAATTACCACATTACACAATGAATATAAAAAATTTAAAATGAAAAAATTTGAGAACATAAATTTTTAACAAGGAAAATCCTAAAATAGAAAACTCATCATCATTGCATCTGTAACTGAATGAAATAATCATTCTAAATTAATATAATTATTTGCTTCCTTTTTAGAAACATTATTAAAAATAATGCAGCTAATACTATAAAATATTTAAAGAGTTTAAATAATATAGCAGATAATCACAGGCACATTTATATATAATATGACATAAACTCTGCAAGTCGTTACCGATAATGACTATGAATTTTTTCATTGACGGGAAAAGAACGTAGTACACATGACCTACTAAATTTTTTTTTTATTGAACTTAACCCTACAAGTCCGATTGTGGAGTAGCGTTACAGCTGAATCAAAATGAGCGGTCATGATCAAACAGAAATCGAAAAACTATGAAAGGCTGAAAACAAAGATTCGTGTTTCAGTTGCATAAGGATGTAAATGGGTCTTAATTATATGTTTAAAAAGAGATTCAATAACTTTATTAGGAAAAAACTTACCCCAAAGGGATAAATAAAGTGGACAAAGGAGGTAAAATAAACACCAAGTATACAAGAATAATCAAGTAGGTATTAAGTATAAAAACTTTTAAACTAAGCATTTAAAAAATAATTTCCCTCCGTCATCTACTTATCTCTTCAAATTATAATCCTAAAACTTTTATTTTTAAAAATGTAAATACAATTTAAACTAGCTTGATGACTGAAGTGAAATTTATATTAACTATTGCAAAATTGTTTTTAAAACTATTTTTAGGATCATAAATTATTACTAAGAACAAAAAAAAAAAAGTGATTGTCTCAGCATTATAATCAAAACATCATAGTATGAAAATTTAAAAAATACTTCTATATTACAGTCAGGCAACATAGTTTGCTGGATTTATAATGTTTAAAAATAATATAGAAAACTTTCAACTAATGCATTATTCTAAATCACATCAAGAACCATAGACTCAGAAAGTTACATTTAGTGCACTTTACACACTGATGTTCAATATTTATAAACAATCACTATTATACTTGAACATGTACTATATATACTAATAGCAAAACTAAACCTTTATTACAAATTTTTAAGGATTTTAATTAGAGAATATATGAAAAATGGTACTAAAATAATAATAAACAAAAAAAATTGATTTTCCTTGTCGTAAAATTGAAACGCTTTTAAATCATATAAACGATTTAACCTTACTTCTAATAAAAAGTTCATAATAGCAGTCTCAAATGCTATTCTGACCTATATCGAACCCAGACTGGGTTAAAAATTGCGTCAACCTCTCTTCGCAGGTAATAATATCTTTATATTTTTGTAATTATCATACATTTAGTTCAAATATTATTAGGCCATCATCAAGAAAGCAAATAAAGTTTTCACACCTAAAAGCATTGATAATAGAAAACAATTATTCAAAACTAATTCAAACTGAAATACTTTTTAAAAAAATAATCAGAGCAGCTAATTGTGGATTATAAAATCGTGCTTTTCAAATATATTAACGGCAACATACCTAGACAGCATATGGGCTATTGTGGTAGGCAATTAAGAGCTAGACCTTATCTAAAGTATTACATTAAAATAAAAAGATAAGGGGGGGGAAAGCTAGAGATCAAATTTTAAGCCAGTTTTTTCCATGAAATTCTATTATCATAAATGTTTGGTTTATCGAGGTCATTAATTTTTTTTCTTTACTTAAATATAAAGAGAATGGTTATAAGAAGTTTCCAAACAAGCACTTTTCATAAAAACCCAATTTTCAAATTTTATCGATAATTAATCATCTACGAAATATTTTTAAACTATATGTAGTTTACTAATTTTGAATGAAATATTGTAGAGGTTTTGAAACGTTATCTTATTTTGCAAAATAATAATTATTTTAGGCATTCCCTCACTTTCAAATTATAATTTTAAAAAAACATGGCAACTAATTCTTTTTAGGAGGCAAAATAGAATGTTTCCAGACATATTTAAAATACAACATGCCTAATAAGCTTATCATATTAACAGGTAATTAAACATTACTTGAAACATATTGAAGTAGGTGATAAACAAAAACCACAAACTATACAACACCTTCAAAATTCATTTCAGTAAAATTCCATTAAATCTATGGGCATTAGTTTTTACACAAAGCAAATATTAAACAATTAGCTTTTCTACAACAAAAAAAGGAAAAGAAAAAGAAAGAAATTTTTTTTTGTCAACGTTATTCAACGAGAAAAAAAGTGTGAAGCATAATTTTTACTCAGAACCAAAATACTTAAGGAGATGAAGAAGATTAATGAAGATGTTCTTTTTTTCCTATGGTTACTTAAAATTTTTTACAAATTATGAAAGTGAAAAATTTTACCAAACAGTTCTCACAAACTATTTTACTTAGAGTTTTATGAATTTATCAACTATATACATTTATATAAATATAAACTAGCTAATTTTTTAATAAAACATTTTGTTTTACGTTTTTTCTTCTCTTTTTTTATTGTATCTCTATTTGCATAGTAATATTTTGTTCTACAATTTTACTTATTACTAACGTTTATTTTAATTTTATTATTTTTATTTCATTCATTCACTTATTTTTATTTACTAAATTTTAGTTCTATTTAGGAAAAATTTTTATGGTTAATTGACAAAATTTTGTTAAATTACACCCTTGTAACAAATAGTGTTTTTAAAATAATAATAAATTTAACAAATTATTAATAAATAGTTGAAAAATAAATCAAGCAGCATGGTGAAAAATAAATTAAATCAAACTTCTTTTTAATTTACCTTAATTTTTTAATATGACAACTTAAAAGTAATATTGTTCAAATAGCTTTCAAATAAAATCACTAAAATTTTTGCTTTCTAATTAAAACGCATTAAGGACTTAAAAAATCAAATATATATCATAAAAAATCTGCAATTAAGATTATTGCTAGCAATAACAACAAAAAAGCAAAACAAGCATACCTATATTTAATAAGTAATTTATATATATTTAAGTAAGTCTGCTGTTTAAGTTAAAAAAATAAGCATAATTCAGAAGTAATAGCATACTAGATCATCATGCATATCATTAGCAATAAAATATTAAATTCTTATGAAAGGCTCACAAGATTCATCGAAATGTTTATAATCACAACTCACTGCGAATTAAAATACACTTTACACATAAATAATGAACAAATATGAATAATGTAAACTACTGTCTAACAACAGAATATATACACATTTATAAAGCCCTCCTATAAATGAGAAACATGCCACATTAATGTTGCTTTCTATGTCACAGTTTTAAGATAAAAGAATCTCACACTGATTCCAAAACACTGAAATCTAAACACAATATATTTACATGTTCATGAAGCATTTCCTAAAAAAATTAGCATAATGTCTTTAATTTGAAGTCTTTTTTTTATTTTTAAATTATTAATGAACTTCTGATATGAGGCTAAATTATAATTTTAAGTTGATCATGCCTCACTCTCAGTAGGATTTGATTCTTCTCCTAACATTGGAACAATAAGATTGTCCTTAGACATCAAATTGTACTTGGTAACAAAGACTGTAAATCGACGGCACAAAAATGTTTCATTCTAAAAAAAAGAGATATAAAAATCAGATTAAAATCATAAAATGTAAATATTAAAATCATTTATTCAGAAATAAATAATGATAGATGGCTTACCTCAAATTCATCAAATACAGCTCTGTGATGAAAATATGCATGTGAAAATATTCTGTAAACCCTTCTACATACTGAACCTAACTTTGCTACAGATGATTCTTTTATACTTACACTGCAAAATTTTAACAAAAATTAGTCATTCTATACGTTAAAATATAATGTTAATCATACTGCAAAATCTGCATAGTCAGAGCTTTGAGTTAGAACAATGTGCTTAAAAGATCATAGACTATTTGAACAATCAATAAAAAACTATCGATTGACAAAAAAACTAAAAATCTGCAGTTTGCTGAACTAGCTGCTCAATAAGATAATTTATTCTCTACAAAATTAGTAACTAAGTTTGCCACCAGATGGTGTGTGTAGCTGAAAGGATAAACTATAAAAAATAACTATAATTTTGTTGCATGTCAGATCATTTAAAATGAAATATTCGCATGGTTTCTGACTATTTTGTCCTTAGACTGTAAAATTTTGTTGCTGCAAATGGCAGTTATTTTGAAAACATTATCAGTTTTTTCTTTGGTACTATTGACGAACTCCGTAACCATCCATTCATGTTCAGACGGTAGAGGAGAAGGGAGGAAGACACACAAATTATATAATATTGAGAAATAATACCTGTAATAAATTCAAATTTAAAAGAAAATTATGAAAATTAGTAAATTACTTTTAATTACAAATATAGAAATTTTAACATTAGCACACAATAACAGTTATAAAGTTAGTGAAAAATGCCTTTGCTGAAATAACTTTATAATCATCTTAAGAAAATTTAATAGCTTTGCTTAGAGTGATTGTTTTTTCCAATTCAATGTGCTATGTCCCCTCTTCCTTTACAAAAGACTGAAAAATCTGTTGTAAAATAAGTGCAAGGTGCATAATTCCCTTTTTAGAAAAAAATTTTCTTTTTCCAATGGCAGGCACTGAATTTGAATCTTTGCCTATACTATGCCAGAATTGTTGCTCATTTCGCGTTACCCAGTGGGCACCTGTGAACCAAAGTCACGGAGGCGAGAAACATTGCCCACGCCACACTGCCACAAACCCGTTTATAGGGTGGGGCACATTCACATATCATACACACACACAACAGAGGATAGCACAAAGAGAGAAAGAAACATCCATGCCCAGAGCGGGATTCGAACCCGCAGCCTATGGCTTCGCAGTCAGGCACGCTAACCGCTCGGCCACCTGGTCGGCCCTTTTTAGAAAATATTATAGATGAAAATTCTGCCGTATATGATAAGAGGTCAAATAATTCTAAACTTTCTTTTTCGCCATATCTGACGCTCCAAATCACAGCTTGTTAACACTTTTGTATGCTTGTTAACCCTTTTACTGAACTAATAACTAAATACCTTCCCTTCATGATGCTCATAATCTTTCAATAAATATTTTATCTTTTGAGAATGATTCTAGCAGCTGAGAATGATTCACACCACTTAGAGATCATTCTCACTGCATTTACTTACTCCCACACCTGAAAATTAAACAAATAAGATTTAACAAGTTTCATTTGTAGCGTGCATATGTAAGTAAATGACCTAAATGTGCCAGAAAAAGAATGAAATTGGGATGGAAATCCAGAGAGTTGACATGTCTGTGAAAGGAAGATAACTAAAATAACTTAGGCACAATAATAAAAACAAAGATCTGATTGAATTCTTTATAAGCTCTGTTTCAGATTAAAAATAATTAAGCTCCAAAATTGTTTTATAAAAAAAAAAGAGTTATTTTACGACACATTCAGATAAGTTTTTCAGTTTGTAATACCTAACCAATTGCATCAAAAAAATACTTGGACAATAAGTTACAACAAAAATGTTAATAGAACTTATTACTTTCAATAAAATAAAAAAAATTTAAAACTTACCGACTAGGGAAATATTTGTTACTATTAAGCAAACATGCAGCACCATCAAGTGTATGTCTTGTATAATCTATTGCAGGGCATTCTTTTGGAGTTTTATGAGCAGCACATAAAAATATCCACTGCTCTGTAGCGGTCATCTGTGTACATGTCTCAGAGTTGCATTCGTTCTAAAATTAACACAAATTTCCATCAAAAAAATAACCAAATCATAATAACATATTTTATCATATTCCATAATTTGATAAATAAAAATGCATCATATATAAATAACCTAAAATATTTTTTCCTGGCTGATCATCAAAATCAGCTGAATTTCAAATTCAACTAACTAAAAAATGAAATATTTAAAATTACCAGCAATTAAAATGGCAATTACATAACCATTAGATTAATTAGTGCTAAAACACATAAACTATCACTGGTAATTGATCAAAACAATTAGTACAAGTTTAGTAAAATATTCTCATGTAGCTCATAGAAACCTAAAATTTTTAAAACAAGCATTATCAGAAATTTATATTCAATTAAGAAAAAAAAAATGACAATTTTAAAAAAGAGAGAATTATTTTAAAATTGTACAAATTGAACTCACACTACTGCCATGTGAAATTTTTAAAAAATTGCATAAAAATTTTTTTTATTCTTATTTTTAAAAATTTCTTATTCTTACATAATGCTTGATTATACATATATATTCCCTTTTAAAAGTATATGCTTAAATTCATTATAATGAGAAAATTATTATGTTTTTTAATTTGTGTATGAATAGGAGAAATCTGGTTCAGCAAAATTTGAATAGCATTTTTTTCAAGCCGTGATTTCAACTAAACCTTAAAAGCTTGAGTTCATTATAATTAATAGTAAATGAAAAATCTGACACATAATAGAAAAGCCACAAATATAGGTAAAGTTAAATTTTAAATAAACTTGGTTCAAAATGAAAAAAAATATTGTATCTTAGTATCTCAATGTGAATATGAAGGGAAAAAACTTTTTATATTAACAGGGATGAGATTAGCCAGAAGGCAAAAAAGCTGAATTTCCACGATAATAAATTTTACGCAAGCGCAACCCTTTAATAATAAATTCCAGACAGTTTAAGGTAATAAATAATGTGTTGACATACAATTGCATAAATGATTACATTGCTACTTAACATTTAGTGAAAATAAAAATTACCAATTGAAAAAATAAAGCTGGAAATTATATTTTTCCTCAGTTCACATAAGAGACAATTATTACTTGAAAAACTACCTGGTTTAGCAAATTAAAACTACTGAGAATATACATTAATATTTCATTTCTTTTAATAAATACTGTTATGTGATTTATAGCAAATATATCAGTAATAATACTTTTTAAATTATATTGAAAAAAAAAACTTTAACAATGGGCCGAATCATTATGTTCATATTAATCTAACTAGAGCCCTTTGAAACATATCAATAACAGTGAAGTAGAAATATAAGTAAGTAACCTTAACATACAAAACCTTAATATAAGTAACCTTAACATACAAAAATTGCTATTTCAGTTAACAAAATTACATGACAATCAGCAACTGTTTAGATAATAGTTTTTTATTTGATAAGAATTTTGCCTTTTATAGCAAAAATAAAAGCAATTATAAATAAAATTTTGATGATGAGTTAATTAACTCTTTCCAAAAATTTTTTTTATTAAATCCCTTTTTAAGTGATTGCTTTTGTTTGCTATATTTAGTCGTTAGTCCATCTTCAAACATCTTGTGACAAATCCTATTTTTTCTTCTTTGCAAGCACAGAATGTAAGTTTTGAATATATTCCCTTCCAGTTTCTCTGATGTTGTAACACTTACATATACTAATAATCGTCGTTAGAAAAACAGTTACCTTTATAGTAACTAAGTAAAAAAAAAATTTACTTCTTACAAGAATCGAGATAGTTGATCTTAAAATTGTGTGAATATGAATAACAATTATGGATATTGAAATCACATGAATATGAAACTAGATAATACGATTTTGAAAATGAGGAAATACAAACTGGGATAAAGAATTTTTAAAACGCGTAAATACAAATCACGATTCATAATTTTTAGATCGCGTAAATACGAATCATGATGCGTAATTTTTAGATTGCATAAATAAGAATTATGATGCATAATTTTTAGAATGCGTGAATGCGAATCCCAATGCCTTATTTTAAAATCATGTATAAATACGAAAATCAATGTTTGATATTACAGAGATGCCAACTGCTCCGGACAAGCCAAAATAATTAAAAAAACGGTAAGTAACTACAAAGTAAATTTTGCAAATATTTCACTATTTTTGCTTGCTTTTTAAAAGGTATGGCATGACATAATTACTATAAAGTGGTGAATTCTAAAAGCCTACGAATTATTTAGAAATAGTGGTGGATAAAAATCTACTAAATTGAATTTTTTAAACCTAAAATCACAATTGATAAACTACCACTTTAAAATATAAATTTGCCTTCCGGAGCAAGTTGGCATCTATGATATTATAAACCGCATGAGCAAATCAAAACATTTATTTTAAACTTGCGTGAATATGAATCGCTACATAGGTTTTTAAAAAGGCGTAAATACGAATCACAATATCAGATTTTTAAATCTCGTAAATAAGAATCGCAACATACAATATTCAAGTCGCGTGAATAAGAATCGCAACACGCAAATATGAAAAGCTATGTTTGATATTAAAATCGTGTGAATAAGAATCGAGATATTAGCAGATTCCAGGCTTGGGACCTCTAAAAGGCTTGTCAGAAGCAGCGTCGTTTGAACTACGAAAATCGGATCTATCTGGAGGGCGGGTAAAAAATTCGGAAAATCTTATCTGCTGCGTGTAAAAGGGGAGAAAATAGCTAAAATAAGTAAAAATGAGAAAGGATTGGTAGCTATGTAGTTTGAATTTTCTGCTTCTTTTTTGAAAATCGGTGAATTTTCTGGAAAAAAAAAACAGAATACTTATTTTTTTAAAAAAGTGAAATTTTTAGAAAAATCAAAATTTTTGATTAAAAAAAAACTGAAATTCAAGTGATAAAAGTAAAAAAAGCGGAAATCCGCTGAAAAGCGGAAAAATCTCATCCCTGAATTAAAAAGTTATGAATATTAAAATTACAAATTTATTCCATTCACCAGCCCTCAATGTCGCATTGTGATTTTCATTAGAATATATATATATAAAAAAGTTTTCTACAAATTTGTTAGAAATATATAAACAAGTCTAAAAATACTGCTGGCATAAATTTTACTTAATTTTAACCTACTTAGAAAAATTTCTAAGATTTTTAACTGCACCTGAGAGTGGAGAAGATGATATTCCAGTTGGCTAAGCCATTGATGTTGGAAAAACATTTTTAGTATTTTAAGTGGCTGTCTTTATCTGAAAGATTAAATTAAAGCCAATTTTTCTTTTACTATCTTTTTTAAAAACTTATTAAAATTACTTATAAACTTAACAAAGTATTCAATTTTCAATCCTCTTATACTTTGCATAAATGTTCTTACCTGTAATTTGACAGCTAAGCCATTTAGTTCCATACAGAATTGTCTGGAAAATTAAAACAAAATTAAAAAAATATAGTCAAAAACTCCAGCAACACTGAAGATTTAAAATTCAAAAATTCTTCATTAATCACCATTAAAATGGGGAGAGTGTTGTACCTTGGAAGGTTGACAATTTGAATAGCAACAGCAGTATCCCAAACATTTAATTAATATCTTGATCAAAACAAGAATATTTTATCTCTATTAGGTATATTTTTTCCCAGTTCCAATTTCATTTTCTAAACTCAAATTTATTAAACTATTTGACTGATTTCTGTTCCTTTTCAGTAATAAAAAATATTTTAATAGTTAAAACAGTTAGATTAACAAACGTTTTGATTTCATTTAGAACATGTGGGGATTATGTTTTGGAACAATGAACCATGATTATTAGAGATGTACAAGGGTTCCAACTCTTTTATCAAAGCAAAAATTAAGGTCTTTTAATGACTTTTCTTGAAAAAATGAAGGACCTTAAAAATAGTATAATAATTGTTTATTATCAATTATACATATACCCACAATAACAGTACCAATTATGTATTTATCATTTGTTAAAAAAATTATAATGCAAGTACTGATATAATTGTTTATATTACCAGGGCTTGCCAAAGTAGGTTCAGGCAACTTAGGCAAACCCGGGTGTGCAAACTTGATTTTCTTTATATATTTGAATATATATTTGTTGATATATGTTGTTGAACATACATTGTTACAGATTTGAATTAGATATTTGTTACACGAATTGCATCTCCCAAATATTCAATGTGTAGCTTGAGTCAATGAATGACCTATAATCGAATGAAAGACAAAATAAAATATGAAGTTTCAAACAAATTGATCAATCTGAAACAAACTAACCAAAAAATTCTATTTTAACTACTAATTCACAGTCTTAAAAGCATAAAAATATTTTATAGTTTACTTTTTTTTAAAATGAAGATGCAAAGTTTAAATAAGAATAAATACCTGAGATGTTCATACTTCCAGACCCCTTCATCTTGGCCGTCGGGAGGTGTCAATATCTCATTGACATTCGCAGGATCTTTACGAATAGTTTGTTGAATAAACTGTCGAGAAAGTATCGAAACTTTGCTTAATTTATAAAGAATACATTTAGGAAGAAAAAAAATAGTAGTTATCTAACTTTTAAACTAAGTAGTGATTGCAAAATCATAAAATGAGGAAATTTAAATTGCATTTTATTAAATTATCTTAAAAGTAAATATGCATGTAAATTAACTACATTAAAAAAATTATGAATAATTAAAAAAATAGCTCAAAATAGTATTTTTAAAAATTATAATACATATATATATATATTGATTTAAGAATTTTTTTCCAAAACAAAAATATATATTAATAATATAGGAATTGAAAGTTATAGATTGAGCTTCTCAAAATTGTCAAATAATATATATCAACTAATTCAAAATGCATAATAAACAGAAAATCAAAATACCTGTTGTACTGCCAATGTACTATCCATTTCTTCAAAAGGTTCTTCAGGCCAGTTACAAAAATTCTATGAAAAGATGAGAACAGAATTTTAATTATTAAAAGACAAAAGCAGCATTCAATAGTTCTAAAAAAAACTTAAATAGCCTAAGCATAATAAATAAATTATCGTATTTATTAGGTAGGAACCATAAATAAACTACAAATAAGGAAAAAGTTTAAAAACACATAATAAATTTAAATTCAAAATATTCAATAACAGAAACTAATTAAATGCAAAATCAAAAAGTCAAGCTGTTAACTAGTGAAATCTAAAAATATTTCTTTTTCCATCATTAGTTGCCACTGGCTATTAGTTACCCCTTTTACAGTTTCAACTTTTATCAAATCACCTAATAGACTAAATTTTACAAGACTATATGCATATAATAAGTATTCTGCAAGATAGTTACTCCACTTGATAACAAAGGATAGAATTGCAGACATTAACTTAATTAAATATTGAGGAAAAGCGTATAATTAATAACACATATAAGCAAAATATTAAATACTTAATAAATCATAGTTTTGCAAGAAATACAATTTTATACTAAAATTTCTTTTCATCTAAGAGATTTTAAGAATTCTACATTTATGATCGTTACAAAATGAAGAAATAATCTCTGGCAATTTTAGTAAAGTTATGAAATTAGCCACTGATATAAATATTGTTATAGATGTTATTTTAAGTTAAATGATATTGAAAATCATATAATGAGTATACAATTACTATGCATAGATTCACAGATGCATAAATATCACATTATACCATTGCTCCCAACCATTGTCATTTTCAAAATCAAGTAAGATTAGAAATCTTATCAAATAAAGATTTACTAATTATAATAAATAATTATTATTTTATTAAATATTCACCTAATTTATTTTTTAATTTTTAAATCAGCATGATTGGCACCTATGTTACCTCATAAATACTGCAATGAAGCAAAGAGACAGATTTATAAACAGTTTTATTAAAATTAAAGAGATTTTACGATCCCTAACATTTTTTATTTTTTTTAGTTTCTTTACTTTAAATTTTAACCCTTAATTTTTAAATTTGAACAATATTATAAATAAATGTCCATTTAAGTTTAATCTTTAATCAATGTTTCTTTCTTGCCAACTATTTATTTTAAGTAGCCCATCCTTGTTATTATTCTAAGAAGACAATTATGCATTTTTTATGTTTACCTTGTCCAAACCTTGACCATTTGAGTTTAATCTTTAATCAATGTTTGCTTCTTGCCAATTATTTATTTTAAGTAGCCCATCCTTGTTATTATTCTAAGATGACAATTATGCATTTTTTATGTTGTATTTGTAGTTGTTTTAAAAATATAAGTTAATTTATTTTAATTAATAATTTATTTCAAAAAAATCTATAGAAATAAGAACAAAAAATAAATAATAGTTGAGTCTTATACTATTAATGCTAAAAGAAAGCAAAATAAAGATACTGTCATCTGGATACCTGGTCAATGTAAAATTCTTTGCATTCCTAGATAGAATGAGTGAAGTGAACAAATTTTCTAACAAAAAGTAAAGAGGTTTTAAATAAATTCTTACATAAATTTAGGTAAAACATATAGTCATTATAAACTTAAAATTAAATTACTCTCAAAGTAGAAAGAACAAAGGCAGCAAAATTCAAAATAAAATAAAGGTTTGCATAAAAGGCAAAGGCAACAAAATTTCGATAAATTCTTGCATTTTTTTCAGCACAAAACACTCCAGAGATTTTAAAAAAAATAATAATAATTAATTTTTTCTTTAAATAGTTATTTTATGACTGGATAGACATAAGAATTTCCAAATATCGCAGCATCAAGTGTACCAATGGGATAGAAATTATAAAATCAGTATATTTGTTTAAAAAATATTTGCAAGAAAGTTTTGAAAAAATTTATCTGATAGCCATTACTCTTGTAAATTTTAAAATAACAATAACAATACTGTGTTCATTTTTATATAATATAGGAAAAGATATATATATATTTATACATTATTAAGTAATATATCCTGTTATGCTAACAAATGTTATTAAATATCTATAAAAATAAAACAGGTGGCTAAAATAAATAAATGCTGACCAGTAAGAAATGTTCTATGATATCCAACAAGAAGTATTGCATACAATATTTTTAAATATAGGTTGCCACGATAAGATTCTGGAAAATTGACACACTTTATTGTCTAAACTGTCATGTTCCCCTTCCAAAAAAAAAAAACTATATTAAGTCAATACTATCAACTCTGTTCAAGCATCAATATTTTTTAATTTAATGGTTCTTTCTTCTATAGTTCCCTATTCAAATTATTCCAGGATATTTCCGTATTTTGATTTGTCACGCCAACTACAATCGCCAAAGCAACAAATTGCTTTTAAACCAGAAAATTTTTGAAACAGAAACATGTAGAGGTTTGCCTGGGTGTGGCAACGAGCTGGTCCCTTTATGTGATGTTTTTTTTATTTTATTTTTTTTTATAGTTTCTCGCAGCACAGAAGTTACCCAAGACATGGCGATTACTCTGACTAAGATCACAATATGAAAAAATTCCCCTTGTTCAGGGTTGGGTTTTTGACGTCAAAAAGTGGTTTTTGACATGACAAGGGTATAATACTGGTTTAAACCGTCAAAAATGTCAAAAACTGAAGTTTGCCAA